GTGTGTGTGTGTGTGTGAGAGAGAGAGAGAGACAGTGTGTGTGTTGCACACACAGTTACACACGTTGTGTTTGTGCAGTTTGACCTGAAAACGTGGAAACATCTGGAGCGATTCAACGTCTGAGGTTTAGAGAAAAAGGTGAAGTCACATGAAGTAAATCGATAATAATATTATTCTCGCCCTCCTCTGTTATGATGTGAGAGTGTTAGAAACCTTTTGTTTTGGGGGGGGGGGGGGGGGTCTGAGGTGATAGGATAATAAAGTCATATTACAAAACGACAGCAGTTTATTTACGGGAATAAAGTCGTTATATAACGAGAGCAGAGAGATATAATTACGAGCAGTTGTTAAATTGCAAGAAAAAAACCACGTAGCTGATATTTGTAATATTTACTAGAATCCAGTCGTTATATTAAGATTCCTTCTTGTTATATTACAAGAACGAGCTCATTAGACTAAAGTTGTGATACTTATAAATTGTAATATTACGAGAATGAAGCTGTGGAGTTGTAAGAAAATCTCAGTGAGTCACTTTGTCTACGTCGTGTCAAACTAATGCTAATTATAATAAAAACAACGTGGATTCACTCTTTAAAATTTAAAATATATTCTGGTTCCTCTCCGATGATCAAAGTAAAGGTCGTGGAAGACGAAGGCCTGATTCACTTCTAAATACTGAGGAAGAGGAAGGAAGCACTGCGGCTCTAATCAGTAACAGGGTGACATGAATCTGCTGGTGTGAGTTTGAGCTCCAATCACGTCCAAGAGTTTCTTTACTGAAGGAAATGAAACGCGACGTTTACGAGAAGATTCTCCGTCGTTGAGTTCATGTAGCCCGTTGGTAGCTAGTTTACCGCAGGAATCGAACCACCAACCCTTAAAGTGAGACAACACGAATGTCAGTTGCTTCTGGACGTTTGGTCTCCTCCAGGTTTCGTAGACAAGTGGACTTTTACGTTCACGTGTTCGATACCTGAACGTGTCAGCGACTCCTTCACACCGAACCTTCAGTAACAAAGGTTATAATGGAGACGCATGTTTCGGAGAGGCCGTTGTGTCGGGCTGAGAGAAAAACAGATTCACTTTGTTTCCAGGCGAAAATAGAGAGAGAGAGAGAGAGAGAGCGGTGACGGAGATAAGGAGGCGCTGGAGTCACAACAGAACAGGATCTGACAGGAGCGGCTATATTTAGCTCGGCTCTCTCTCCGACAGCTGTGCAGAGGAAGCGAGGCGACTGAATTCTGATTGAGACGCTCTGACGTTCATGAATGAAGATGTGTAGCTCAGATCCACGACAAAGTCCACGCTCTCCAGAAAAACCTCAGAAGATGTCCGATTCATTTAAAGTGCTCGAGAAGCGTTGAGAGCAGAAGAATCAGACTTTGTCTTTTTATCTCTGCTGCTGCTCTGATCATCTCTTCAGCAGCAGGACATCGTCTCATTGAGACTTCAGTGTTGGAACTTTATCGTCTCATCTTCAATTAACGTCAATGAACAAAAACAACGTCACCATGTTATGAGAAGAATTTTTAAAAAGTCATACGAGAAGAAGAGGTGGTGATATACTGATTCGTGTACTTGCCGATGTCCAACATGGTATTATCTGCAGTATTAAGAAGTATTTCTGATGATGGTATCGGAACCAGAAAACCAGAAAGGACGAGAACCTGCAAGAAATGAACTGATGGTATTTTACATAATTAATTACTTTAAATACTTCATCCAATAAAAAAGTATTTATACATGAGAAAATGTCTTAATGACAGAGATGAAGGAGCAGACACATGAACTGAGGAGACGATGGTAGAAGACGTGAGGAGACATGTTGTATATGAAGACATGAGGAGACATGTTGTATATGAAGACATGAGGAGACATGTTGTATGTGAAGACGTGAGGAGACATGTTGTATGTGAAGACATGAGGAGACATGT